ACATGAAATGTTTCACATTTTTCATGTTTATTCCGTGCAGATGGCTCCATTTTGAACATCCAGAATTTGTTTTGACTTTCTGACTATAGCTTGTAAACAGAGAGTTGGCTGGCATCTATACCGGGTATAGGTAGCTTTTCGTATTTGATATAAAATTGAGTGAGCCTGTAGCCAAACCATTAGTCAGTCAAAGTAACGTTGCAAGCCGGTTAAAGGCAGCATATCCAAACCAGGAGGGAAGTCTGAATTAGCGGTGGTAGCCTTGTCCATAAATTGACAAATTGATGTGCTAGCGGTGTTTCACTTACACAGCTACTTTAGCCAGACTCCAAATGCAGCTTTGCAAATCAAGGCATCTCACTATTAAATGTTTTGAACTGAAGCACACGGAAGTTCTGTTACGTGAACATGTTGATACGAATAATGCAGGGAAAATGCATAGATATACATATATTTATAACTCAAGATGCAGAAAACTTGATTGCATCTCTATTAAGCATGAAAACACTAGTGCTGATTCTTGTCTGTGTGTATTACATGTATGGAAATGATTTTCAAGGACAAATGAATACCAAAACTGGAAAGTTCTCTACTTTTTCTTTTGTCAGATCCACTCCTAATCTTGCAGATGAGGTTTTAGGGTTATTTTTCCTGCTAGCAGTATTTAAATGCTTTCGCTCTTTTCTATATATTACTTAACAGAAAGGGACACCAATTTTGATTTGTTATTTGAGAGTCTAGTCGAGCCATCTTTTGCTTTAAAAGGTTCCCTGTGCCTTTGTCTTCTCTACTTTAAGTAATTAAGTTGAAGGATAAGTAGCCAGAGTATGTTCAAAGCCCTTGGCTTTATTTTGTTAGACCTAATTATTCCAGAGGATACAAAATATTTTTCAGTAACTCCCCCTTACCTGTTCAGAGTGTATCTGTGCTTCCTGCTTATCTGCGGGTTCAGTTCTGCTTGCACGTTGCTCAGGTCTATCACCTTGCCGGAGAAATACAGGATTTGTAAATCTGAAAGAATTCCCCGACAGCTACCGTAAAATTAAGCTGTTAAAGAGCTCTTGGAGCTTGTTTAAATGTAGACCTAAACAAACCACTTTGCTGTTTAGCTCAAGATAAATCTTTTAAAAGTCCTGTTCTAAATCACTTCCTAATTTTAATGAGTTTATATATCAGCCTTTGCCAGATTTTTACTGTAGCTATTCTCCAAGATTACAGCCATGATAAAGTAAGGACTAAAATTGTTTATTATATATTATTCTTCAGAAGCAAAACTTTTTCCCCCAGAGGCTGTTGGGAGAGCTATTGATTTTCTGCCACAATGTGAAACGTGTGACCTTTATAATATGAGCAATGATTACAAGGCCAATAAAATGACATCATTCTGTTTAAACTTTCGAGTTCGCAGGGCAAATAGCAAAATGTGCCACATTTAATGATGTCCACGGACGATAAGTGTACATTGCATGGCTTCAAGTGAGAGTGAAACACAAAGCAGGCAGGCTCTCCATCCTGAAAATGCCCCGTGTTTGTGCCAGGAGTGGGGGAACGAGAGCACCAGGTAGAGCTGTATCTTTTCACAGCTCGTACAGCAAGGAGTCAGTGCTTTTCTGAGAGTAGACTTTTCTAAATGTTTGCGTCTACCAGTGCGACTGATAAAACTCCTCCTGATGTGACACAGGATGAGCTATCTGCGGTGCAGCTGTATACATTCGTACAGATTTTTCCCAATCCACTGCGTATGCGTTTACAGGGCTAAGTTCTATTCTTGTAATACATCTTTAGCCACTTCATTGCAGTTCCTCTAGATTAGCTGAAAGAAAGGTCCGTCCCAAATAGATGTAGTATATCTGCACAGAGCATATTGATGTTCTAATACGTGTGAAGACAAGGAACACAGAAAGCTTTAGTCAGGCTTGGTGAGGGATGCCACAGCCAGATTCACTGAAGCAATCTGTGGAATTTCCCGCTTCAGTCACATCAGTCTGTTTCCCCCTGTCATTTTCTTCTCTTCCTTCAAAAACTCATTTTTGATCCATTAGGACCTGTTTCAACCAATTCCCTGTCCATTCTCCAGCCCGTACCGAGCCAGATCCCCAGCATGGAAACACGGTAGCTGTCAGTTCCCTTTGCAGGCTGACCCAAGCCTGTGCTCAGTATTTGGTCCAGCTAAACGTGGAGCCAAGGTGCTCGTTGTTGCTTAGAAAGAGCAAGCCAAGCAGCACAACATATTCAAGGCATCGCAGGGGAAGGAATAGGGATAATTTTCTTTCCCATTTCTGGCTCATTGTGTAATATCAATAATATCTGTAGCTTTGTATTATACTTGCCGTAAGCAGCTCTAGTGATTGATTAAACACCTTAGCTTTTCTTTGGCATTTAATCAATTGCAGCAGCAGTTTATTGCTTGGTGTATTACAAAGTAAAAGAGATTATTACTTAATTATTCTGAAAAATAGCAGCTTGCAGTTGTTGCTAACGTGTGTATGTGTCTACGCTGATGCTGGTGTCACGTCGTCCTTTCCTTTGTGCCTCCTGGTCTCTGCGCCGGGTGAGAGCATGCGATTCCCGATGGGTCACGCGCAGTCATTCCCACAGCCATCGCCAGCACAGTGCAATTAGTGGCATTAAATAAATAATTGCTTACGGTGAGGCTTCCCACAGTGCAAAGAGCCTGATTCTGTTGCTTGCTGGGTACCTCCAAATCTCACTTAAATTTTAGGCAATGTCCTTATTAACCAACCCACATGAATATGAATTTGCTGCCAGGTACAAAGTGCTCCTGGAAACAATTCAGCAAGAATTTCATCGGTACCAGGAGGCATTTTGATAGCCCAGGGTGCAGCACCGGATGTGTGCACAACTGGAGGTAAATCAGATATGGGGCATGTTATTGGTATGTGAGTGTGAGAAAGAATAAAAAAGAAAAAAAACGTTTCATGACATCCTCTTGAGGATCTAGGAAGTGGCAGCTCTTCCGTTTTGACATCTAAGGTTTTCTGCCTTGAGTGCAAAATTGAATGCATATGCAAGAGTTCAGAAAGAATATTGTGATGTGGTGAAGCATAAGGATTCAGGGTAGCATACACATCTGTGCATGCAAGGGTACCACAGGTATCGTGATCTTTATGTATTTTTACCCATCTGCTTGTAGAATAGGATGTAACCCACCTGCATTCCCATACAAAGGCAGAGTCCAATATTTAGAACAGAAAATTGGGGTTTAGTTCCTTGCTTTGCCCCTGACTTTCTCTACAATCAAGTGGTTTTGTCTCCTTGTGCCTCAGTTTCCCTTTGTGAATGGGAGTAACCGTTGTTCACTACCTTAGAGAAGCGTATGAAATTAAGGACTGCTAGCTGCTCCTCCATTGTGATAATGGACACAATCGAAATACTTTCAGTAGCAAAATGAAACCTCTTCAGACCTTTGATCCTGCAAAGATTCGTATGAATTAAAGCTGTGCCCTTGACTTGAACAACGCTAGTCAATGGAAGAGCAGTGACAAAGCATCCGCTGCAAATTTGAAGCCTTTCCCCAAATGATTTTAGGGGTGGCTGGAGTGGGGTGTCATGAAGGAAGAAAACAGAACCTCGTATGTTGTTTATTTTTCCTCCATTATAGTAGTAGAGGTCTGACCATCACCTTTCTAGGCAGCTTTGTGAATCCGAGAGGTTGGTAGTGCTCTTGCTCGTGCTTAAAGCTGGCATTGCCTGTGAATAGTGATGCTTTGGCCGGGCCATATAAGTCACGCAGCATCGTATGCCGGTTTTGTGTCAATCGTGCAATGGCTTTTGCAAGTACTCTAGCAGAATTGGAGTGAGCAGACGTTGACTGTCCAGTGACTAAGAAAAGTTCATGTTTCTTTGAGAAGGTGCTGGATGGTCCTAACCATTAAAAGAGTTTATTTTCTTACTCCAACAGATTTCCCCTCCCCTCCTTGATGTTACCAAATTTATCATCACTTTTGTCTTTCAGGTGTAACCTGTCTTAAGTGTTGCAGACACATCAGCCAACCATGCATTAAGAACTGGGCCCTTACTTTAATTCAGTATCATTTTCTTTTTGTCCAATAATTTCACAAGCACTAATCCACACTTCAAATGCAGGAGATACTTTGATCCCCAAATTGTTCAGCACTTCATGCAGGAAAAACCGTAGGCCACAGTCATGAAACTCCTAGAGGATGGCTGCTGGCTTCCTGTGGCAGAGCTGGTTGTTGTTTTCCCCCCCTCCCTTCTTTGCTCTAACCATTTTGTCTGTCTATCTTGTCTTGTATTCAGTTTTCAAAGCAATTGCCATGAAGGGCTTCCTTTTTTTAGTGCCTAAAAGGGAACAATAGATTTTTAGAATAAGCATATATATGTATTTTTTTTATGACCGTCTGTATATGCATATCCTATCTATCATATCTGTATTTCAATATAACATACTGAGAAGTTCAAGCTAAACAGAAATTAATATCTATTATTGTTATTTTTTATGAAAAGGTCTCTAAATGTATCCTTAAATGCACATGACATTTAAAATTATTCCAGTGCTGGATTCCTAAAAATGTAGATGACCTTTTCTCTTGAAATTGGAGAGTGTTTTTTCCTTAACAGTTACATTATGCACAGAAGATGAGATGTTAACCAAGATGTTAAAATGTATTGTTTCCCTTTGAAAGCTAATCCTGTTCCTCATTTTCATTAATGTTGGCTCATTCATTTTTCTTTTTCTTTCTTTCCTTTCCTTTTCTTTTGCAACTGTTTTTGCATGAAAATGCAGAGTAGCAGTAAACAGATTTTTTGTAAGACTTGCTTTAAGACTCTTCTCTTTCAGATCCAGTTAAAGTTTTTAAGTTCAGTTATTTTAAAATTCATATTCTTCAGTTCCATAAACAAAAATAATGGAGAAATATAATGAGGTGCAAAGCGATTTTCTAGCCCTCACTAATCAATAAATGCCAACAAAATGGGGATGGTGTAATGTCCATAATTTAATTGTCTGCTGTTACCAGGTCACCACGAGACAGTAGCAGAAGCGGAGAGAAGCTGGAATTGGCCATGTCCAACCTCACTGCAGATGTCCTGGAGTTACTCCTGGAGTTTGTTTATACAGGTTCTTTGATCATAGATTCAGCCAATGCAAAAACCCTACTGGAAGCTGCCAGCAAGTTCCAGTTTCATACGTTCTGTAAAGTCTGCGTTTCGTTTCTAGGTAAGAATCACTCCCATCTAGTGAGGTTTTAAGATCTCATTTTAAGGTTTGTAAGCCTTCCTTCTAACAGCTCTTAAAAGATAATTACGAAACCCAAGATTAAATACAATAAAATAAAAAAAACAGTATTTATTTGGGTTGAGATTTGAATTTAAAAAGCGGACATGGTGGCCAGTGGAAAATGATCTTGAGAAGTGTAGCCTGTTGTTTGAGTGGCAACTGCTTTCACATCTTGGATAGATTTTTTTGTTGAACCTTCTTTCATACTTGGTATCACGGTGACATTTTGTTTCCCAGTGGTTGATCTCTGCACAGATACTAGGCTGTAACACACAGGTTGCTTATAACTGTGACAGCAAATGTTGGGTGCTACACCAGGCCAGTTTGGTCCAGCACTGGAAGAGTTGGAAGTGAACTCCCACAGAGGAGTCAGGATCTGCAATCTTCTTGCATCCATGAGAAAATCCTTCACATGCCCAATGTTCTTGTAAACAAGATCTGGTTGAACTACCCAGGTTGAATGTTCATGGGGTTTGTTCTTTCATACAGAGTTATGGTCTGATGGATATGTGTCATCACAAATGGTGGATAGCAATGAGAGGTGGCAGTGCCCTCCTGCGATAACTGGCGAGCCCTGCGTGCACGGGAAGCGTTTGCCCCAGCGAGGGTGTACAGAGCAACATCATCACCAGCGCCTCTGTCTGTCCTCTCATGGCCACAAAGAAGCCTGTTCTTCTCCAGAGCGCCACGTCATCCTGCTCCTTTCACTTTCTGTATATTTTCCAGCATAGACTATTTCAAAACAGTCCAAGGTTTCCAGCTCAGTTAACTAAGCTTTACTGGTCTGAACTGGAACCATTTCTGTCATGGCAGAAGAGGAGCCAGAACTGGAGCTCAACTGAAACACATGTTGGTTCAAATTCCCCCTGTATCACATGCCACTCCTTCACGAACATGGCTCTAATATCAGTTAATGAGACAGTAATAATTTACAAATTATTAACACAAACTTATTAATACAAAAAGTGTGAGCTTGATCTTATATGACTTACTTCCCATGTCCAAGTTCCAAATATCTTTTTTGGACATCTGATGTCTACCCAGCTACCTCAACTCCTAGTTTGGTATGGGAGATATCTTTCTGTCTGAACCCCAAATGAACTGCAGGTTCTTCTTGGGCAATTCTCATTTCAAACTGACATCTACAATTCCAGAGTGTAGAAGATGAGAGTTTAGAAAATGTTGCACTCATTAAAAAAAGAAAAAAAAAATTCAAATTAGTCCAGTTTACTGCCGTGTTAGTTGTCAATGGTAAGCTGGCCTGCTGGCAGGTTGAGTGGAGTGACTGGGCTGGTACAATGCAGGCATCAGTGAAGAATCTGTGGTATTGTATTCTCCTCTTCTTTCCAACTTTTTATATGTCACTTGTTTAAAAGTCTGTTCTCAAATGGCTGGGCGATGGGGAAATGACATCTATGCTTTGCCATCCCACTGTGTTGGCCATGAAGTTGAGTGAGGGCTCTGCCTCTGGCATTGCTTTCCCCCAGCTTTCCTTCACCACCTTGTACAAGTGATTAGATCTTATGGCCTTTCCAGGGACAGATGTGTTTAAGTTGCACTATCTCTAAAGATTCAGCCACAAAACCAAAATACATTTATTTCACTAAATCAGTGTGAGATTTCTCTTTTCCTATAGTTAATATTTGAATTCAGTGAACCGTGTTATGGTTAGAGTTGGTTATAAGTTCAGTGATATATGGGTAGGTGCTGGAATTTTGTATTCTCATTTGGAGAATTCATGGAGTGTAATTGCTTCTTTTTATTTATAGCTGTGACTGGATTGCTCTAGAGGTAGGAGAGCATTTGCCATCTAAAAACTTTAGGGAAAGGCCTTTTGTCTCCTCTGTGGCTGTGTTTTTTCTTTTCATTCCAGCCACCTCTGCTCCCCACAAAGCCAAAATAATGCTAAAAATCAGGTTTTTTCAAGGGTTTCTGGAGGATTCATCAGTGTAAACAGTGATTGTCTCCCATCAGTGGCCATGTCTAAATAGCAAGAGAAGTGGAGGGAAGTCCAAAGAGGCCCAAAGAAGTAAAAACCCCAAATTAATAGGTCTGTTCAGCACATCACAGCACCATCTCAGGTCATCCTTTTTTAGCTATGAAGCTCCAGCAGGGTCCTAACTGGTTGATGTCCAGGCAGCTCTTGTGTCTCTCAGCAGCATTGGACAGACACACCCAAATCTACTTGCCCTTTCTAGTGGAAACATGCTGCGAATGTGTCAAGAAAATTGTTTCATTTCAACGGGAGATTTCTTAACCAGCTTCACTAGGCTAATTATAGCCATGTTCTCTCTCTCCCCCACATGCCATCTCCTCTGCTTTTGTCTAGACCACAAGAAATGACAACAGTTTTGTGCCGACTGATGCAATGATGCTGACAAGTTCATGCAGGCTCCATATGATAACTGGGCAAATGTTTGCAAACTGGTCAGGACATCATAGGTATTTCCTGTATCCATATGCTGAAGACTTGAGGGTTTTTTTTCTTGGTTTTTTTTTTTTTTTTCATATTTGTTTTACGCTGTCACCACAGCCAAACCATGGCTCAAACAGGATTTCAGGAGATTTATCAGTATCACGGTTTGGGTCTGTGATGCAGGGACCCCCATCATAGGAGTTAACAAATTCTGAGCTTGTACTTCAGCTTGGTGCAGATAAAAGTATTCTTCCTTAAATCTAAAGAAGTTGTTGGAACCTGTTAGATTTATGGATCAGAATAGGAAAGAGTAGGAGCAATGACTTTTCTTAGTCTCCTGCACAAAGACAAAGTTTACAAAGAGAATGAGAGGCAGCTATGAGAAAAACTGAACGACAGACCAGTGGTGAGACCTACATGAACAGGCATATGCACCTGAGGGAAGAAGAGGCCTTTATGGTCCTTATGAATTCGAGAGAAAGTATTATGGGTGATCTTTTGTTCATCCAAGGTAGAGAATTTTGAGCCAACTGGACAACCATGCTGCCCAACCCTGGAGAAACTGAAGCATCAACCATATCTGGAGACAGGAGAAATGAGGAGCACTCTCACAGGGGAAGTGAGTGATAAATGCATCCAGAAGTCTTCCACCTATCTCCCATCTTCACATGCTTTTGACTCTAGAAGGAATACCTGAGAAATAAGATCCCCATCAGAATATACACAGAATATGATGAGGAAATGCATGTTTTATGCTAATTTTAGTGATATCCAAGTCATCATCTAGAAAGCATCTCTAAATACAGTACTTAATGCACAGAGGGTGCTTATATCAGCCACTGAGCTTCCATCATACTGTTACCTCAATCTCGCTGAGTAATCCTTCCTACAAACCATCTATTTCTGACTTTATCTCAAGTCATCTCCCTCCCAGGAGTGTGGTCTTAGCAGTCTGCCTGGCTGATTAGCTCATGATGACTCTGCACAGGATCCCATTTAAAATCACATCTAACAGAAGTGGAGAATACCGGCTGCTGATCTGCAATATTATGACATACGCAGAAACAAATATGCTATCCAGCACTGTCTCAAACCAGTGAGAACCTACTAGATTACATCTGATATCCTTAAAATCCACTCATAAGTCTGTTATGAACTGTCCTTGAGCGCTGGGAATAGCTTAGTAGTCAGCAGTCATATTCTGAATGGACTCAAGGTGAAACTCCACAAAAACGTGTTAGTACAAGTCCAGCGTCACTGTCGCAAAACCAGCAATTATTTTAAACATCTCAACGTCCAAAGGAAAATGACTCAGGAGCCGATGGAGCAGAACTGGTCCTCAGCTGTCTTTGTCATGTCGGCATCCAGAAGTGCCCCCAGATTGCAGTGACTTGGATGGGCTGTATTATATAGCAGAGGTCTATATCTAAGTGGTCCTGTAGGCTCTCCTTGTAGTCAGTGAAGAGTAACAGGCATTGGTAAGGCATGGTTCTGCACATCCTGAAGTCCTTATCCAAAATATTACCAGATTAATCAAAAATACCACCAGATTGCTTCTTGGAATTGCGTTTATGAGTGTACCGGGATACTAATGTGATTGCTCAGTTGCACCGTAGACAGCAGGAGTCAAGAGAGAGCAATCTTGCCACCAAATTTTGAGTCAGAGGTGAAAAATCGAGGGTGTGTTTTTTCTGTTCACAGGATAGAGATTTTCCATACCTCCTATAGCTGTTGTCCCAACCTCTGTCTTGCTCACCTCGAATGAATCCCACTAGTTCACATATCAGCCCTCATCTTAAAAAGACATCACTGTGCCCAACTTGCTGTGGTGCTCATCACATCAAAAGTGATGAAGTGCCAAGAAGTGTGTCACCAGTCTCCTGACGTACCCCAGTCTGCATCTCCCGGGACTCCTCTCTAAATGACCTCGTCGTACTTGCTGAATCAGACAGGGATAATGTCATTTGGGTCTGCCACCGAGCAGTATCTCGAGGAAGAGGACGGAGTGAAGCTCAAAGGTGGAACTGCTTGGACACCAGTGTACTGGGCTGCATCAGTCACCCAGCATTGGTTAGAGGTAGAAAAACCTGCCTAGACCCAAAGAAACCAGCTGTAACCAGTGCTTTTTCTGCCCCACGCACCAGGCTCAGCTGGGGATGACATGGGAGTCCCTCCCGATTAGAGGCAGACCCAGTCCATGAAGACAAAGATTCATTCTTGCAGGTCTTTTCCATCATGTGCAAGTATACGGCAGCTTAATGAGTCAAATTTGATTATTATCTTTATTATAAACCCTGTGAGGATAGGTGGAGCAGTGTCAGATTTGTCTTTTGCTTGAGAGTTTGCCAAGCGATGACGACAGTTTGGGGCTTTGTGAGGTGATTATTTAACCCCCAGCTGTATGTATACATGAAGCTGTGCCAACAGACAGAACCAAGGAACCTGGAAGAGGTTTTTGGTGGGTGGTGGGGTTTGGGTTTTTTTTTTTGGAAAAGAAGAAATTTTGGGAGCTTTGTGCTTCATAGCTATCGGTTTGAAGCCTGTCTCTGAGCAGTCTTTGACTGACAAAATCTACTGACAGCAAACAGTGCCACTGCTCCAGTCTGCTTGAGGAAATGGGTTCCTTGGAGTCAGTACAATCAACTGATGCAAAATGAGATAACCTAGTTTCAAGACTACTGGATCTGTAAAAGAAAATAAAAGGAGTTGGGGCGGGGTGGGAAACCCAAAGCACAGAACTCCTAATCGCATGCCAGGTTAAAAAAGAAAAAAAAGTAGGTCATAATCCCATTTTAATAAAAGCCACGTATAGATAGCATGCAGGTTTTAGATCCGATGAAGGCTTTTTTTTTCCCCGAGCATTTCCAGCACAAGCAATCTGATGGGAATTTTGTTTGAAGAGATGTGGGGCTATCGCACATTCCTGTCCAGTGCTCTGAAATTGTGCTCTAGGATATGACACTGCCCAAAAGTGATATACTGCTCCTCTGACAGCGTAGAAGCCTGCCACTGGTACCGATGCTTTTGTGATCTATTGCAGTCTGTCTCTCATGTTTATATTTTTTTTCTTGGTCCTATATCTTAAAAGAATATATTCTGCCTATTAGTAGTGGCTTGGTTAACAAAAGCTGAGAAGAATCTGAAAGTTCCTCTTATAAGTGTCTGAAATTGGTAGGTTTTTCTTCAGAATAGCTGAAAAGGAAAAAAGTACAGTCAAATGTATGGTGTAGCACAGTTTTAACGCAAAGCTACACACTGTGCCGTTACTTCTGTTTGCCGGGTAGGAGATAATGCTGTCTCCTCTGTGCATTATTTTCTTTGAAACCTACTACACAACATTTAACAGAAGGCGTTAGTATAATCTGTGTTTTGCATAAGGGATGTCATCACATTCAGCGGCAACAAAGTTCCTTTGAAAAAAAAGGTGGGGGAGGATTTTTTTTTTTATTTGAAGTAGCTTAGTATATGAACAGGGCAAAAATTATCATAAAGCGACTGCAGCATCCTCAGAAATGTCCTTAGCGCTGTTTGCATTTATTCTTAAGTGTCTGCACTGGCATTTACATCTTTGCTGTTTCTTAAAGCAACATTGTAGGCGGTAGAAATAGCAGCAGTCTCTTGGCTGGGTTCCCGTCCCTCGGGAAGCCCCAGATACTATTATGTCAGTAGGTTTCCCCAGTGCCTTGCGAAGGCTTACACAAAAAGCAAACTCAGAAAGTGCATTTCTCTCCCCATCCCCAGCTCAGTTGTTAGACAGATTTCGATTTTGTACTTTAAACCCCAATTCTAATGTAATCCAGGGTGCTGCTTCTAATTAACTCCTTGAAATTAATTAGGGTTGGAGGTTTGTCGGTGGCACTTATTTTTTTCATGATCTTGGTAAGAATGTGAATCTTGCTTTTAATAATTCTCACTTGCTTTTTTTTTTTTTTTTTTTTGTCCCTCTCCTTTCAGAAAAACAGCTGACTGCTAGCAACTGCTTAGGAATATTAGCCATGGCTGAAGCCATGCAGTGCACTGAACTATACAACATGGCCAAAGCATACGCCCTGCAGATTTTCCCGGAGGTGGCAAACCAAGAAGAGATCCTTAATATCTCAAAAGACGACTTCATTTCCTACATGTCCAATGACAGCCTGAACACCAAAGCGGAGGAGCTGGTGTATGAAACAGTGATAAAGTGGATTAAGAAGGACGCTGCAATCAGAGCTCAGGTAAAAATAATCTCAGCAGCCTCACTCTGCTCCGTGCCCATGAATGCCTCTTTGAAAATAGAAACCGTCCCCATGCAATTTTAAACATGAGGGTGCGTAGGAGATGGGATGGGCAGTTCAGATTAAAAAAAAAGGCAATGGAGACTCTGCACAAAATGTATGTGATTTCAAAATCTGATCCCCGTATCTGATCATTTAGAATGAAAATCTCGTTTGCAACATGCATGGTACAAAGCTAGAGCCTCGAGTTGTTGGCTGCAGGCTTGGTCGGAGATAAATCAGGAAGGATTAGAGTTGTGTGAGATGCTGCTTTAAGAAGGGGATGCGTTCTAGTAACAGTGGGAAATAAAAATCTGTCAGAAAATCTGTATTTCTTTTGATGCCACATACTGAATGACTGTAACCTCAGTACATATAAAAAAAAAAAAAAAATCTGTATCTTTATTGGCTGCTTAGATAACCCCTTGGGTGTTATATATTTATTAGAGTTAGCCTTTCGTCAACCATCTGAGCTATGCAGTCTGCTTTTGACTCCAGAAACTGAGTGTATTACTTTGCTCAGCACTGTCTCCAGATAAACGCTAGAATCAATGACTGTTTGGAGGCTGATGATTGTCCTTGGGACCAGAAGACATCCCTGGTGACATTTAAAAACCTACCACTTGTCTTCAGTGCAGCTCTTGCGAGTCACCCTACGTGCATAGTGAATTGTGGTGGTCTGAACCCCAAACCTCTCCATCTGGACGTCAGTTCTCCCCACAGCCCCCAGAAGGGGAAGGTTGTTTTCCCCCTTTCCACTTGTTTGGAGGCCAAAGTTGCTGGGCCATCCCGGCAAGGCCAAATTCTGTTGATCCTTGGTCCCAGTTTTGGCTCGTTTAAGGTGGACAGTCTAGTTGCTTATGGACCAGACCGGGACTCAGGGAAACACTTGGCCACGCATTGTTGCTGCTGTCCCGCATCATGAAAGTGTGTACCTTCTCAATTTAAATGGAAATTCAAGCACCTAAATGTGCAGTGGGATATTAAATACATTATCGGATGTGATCCGAAGCAGCTGTATCTCTGTCTCTCACCTGGAAAATGGGAGAAATAGCAATTCCCAGCCTCACTGGGCTGCTGGATGGGGATAAGGGCATTAGGGTGGTGGGGACTCCATGCCAGGCCAAGCCTTGCTGCCTGCGCTGCCTGCACTGCCGCTGCCGGCTCAGCCCCTGGCCCCTGCCGGCAACCTGCAGCTCCCAGGGGATTTGTCTGAACTCGCCCTGCCCTGTGCGAGCAGGTGACATGGCTCAGCAGGGCAATCCTCTGCTGCGGACCCGCTCCTCTGCGTTTAGTACTGCCCAATGTTATCACTGCCTAAAACATTTACACAATATCATTGATTTACTGAAATGGGCCCCTTTTTGGCTCTCACGGACCTTGAAAAACACTGGTTTATAGAGTATTTCATTCCTTGCTGAAAGTTTGATGACAGCAGTCAGCTGTGTGCGGCTCTGAGCTCTGAACCCAGCGCAACCTTGGGGATTGTTCCCAGAGGCCGGCGTGCAGGAGCCCTGCAGCGGGAGCCTGTTTGCTCCTGTGTCACTCACAGGCATTCCAGGTTACATTTTCACAATTGCTGGGTTAAATATTTCCTTCTGTGCCCTGCTGCGGTGATGTTAGGAATTTATTTTTTGAAGTGGTGGTTTTTCTTGCCCCGCTCTCACTGCTGCCACCGTCGCCATCTCCTCCTCTCTTACTTTCGTGTTGCAGTTAGGTTGGTTTGGGGTTGGTTTTTTTTTATTTCCAAGTCGCCTTTCCCTCTGCCCTGCTTCTGCAGTGCCTTTGTAGTTCACGATGGCAGTTTTATTTGCTTCTCCAAATTTCTCTGTGGTGCTTTGGTTTCATGCATTACTTTACAAGGGCTTTTAATTTTTAATTTGTATTTATCCAGAGATGAGGGTCTTGAATAAATTAAAATTAAAGATACTAAGCAGATAACTATTTTCATGCCCAATCCTACCACTAAACTAGTTTCTTTAGATCATAGCTCTCACTTTTTTTGTACTCTGTGCACTACTTGATCTATTATAAAGCTCTTAGTTAAATAGGTACTTATTTTCTAAAAGTAGGAACTCATACTTACCATGAAAAGTACCATCTTTACAATAATGACTTCTGCATTTTCAGAGCCCAGGAACAAATAGCTCTGGGGGTGGATAGGAAGGAAGATAGATCTAAATAATCTTATTTCTGATAAAGATGATGAATGAAAATTTGTGCTTGGTGTGCAGCAAGGCCCACCATGCTGGGAAGTGCCCACGCTCCCATGAGGTGCACAGGCTGCTCAGAGCTTTGCAGAACTGGGCGACCATGGCAATAGCAAACGCCAGTTGGAGCTTCTTGCAGGAGCTGTGCATGGATATTTTGGCTTTATTCACAGTTTGGTGAGATGGATTCACTCAACTCTTCTTAGACTCTTTGGGGTGGGGAACCAGCACGTGGAGGACACCAGTGCAGCAGCAGTTGCTTCTGCACCCCGCCGGTGGGATCCAGTGGGAGGGTTGCTGGAGAGGTTTTAGTGATGAATTGCAGCAGCCCCAAGATATTGCTCCTGCTCTACTGCACTCCTCAGGTGACCGGTCTGGTTTTATTTCTCTCTCCCAAAGGCAGTCCTGGCAGTTACATCTTTCAGGGGCTGGATTTCCAGGGCCCACACTTTCTTCACATCTCCCCTCTCCCCACCTCCCTTTGCCTGACAGGCCAGGCTCTGTCGTCATGTTTTTATTTTCAATAGCTCCAACAGCAGGTGATTAAAATGCCTCTTCGACAGCTTCTTCCAAGCACTGAACTGGTGATTCTCCCAAAGGTGGATGTGTGGCACAAACAGGGAAAGGTCTGTGCCCTTCACCTCACCTGCATGTCCACCTTCCCTGGCCGAGCCTGGCCGGAGCTCGCTCAGCAGAGACATCCCCGCAGAGGAGCTTGGAGAAGCAGCCTTCTCCCTAAATCAGCAGCCTCTGCCCCCAGGGCAGGTGCAGCCCCCCAAAACTGCCTGTGCTTCAATGGCTTTGTATCACTCTGGAGTGCAGGCTTACACCTGGGGACAGTAAATCTCACCACTTGTGTTCCCCACACCGCAGCTCCTTGTGCCGTGCTCTTATGACAACTTTATCCATCACTGCCTCCCCTTCTCTCCGGATCCCTTTCTGAGAGCCTCGGGGAAGGAGATTTTCAGCTGAGCCTCCCATTCTCCTTGAAGGGTGTTGAGTTTGCTATTTTCCGGCTCTTCTCTGCCTTTCTAAAAGCTCTTCTTCAGGTGTCTAATTGTTTCTGCTTTTGTTAATTCTTTCCCCGCCAGGCTGGAGAGCAGTGGCAGGGATTTGTTTGCAAGGCAAGTTGAAAAGCTGTGCTCTGGCAGACTTTGAATTCTGCAGATTGTGCTCATACAAAGTCTTCTGGTGCTTATAAAAGTGCTCTGTGGCATTACAAAAAACACCCCCCAAGCCTTGTTACAAAGAGAGAATAACAGTGCTTTAGAGGTTACTGATCCATCTACATAAGACAAAGAGGCAGTTCAGAGCACGACGTATGTGTTAAGCTAGGATTTGGTAAATAACTGTATCCAGTGCATTGGAGCAGCGCACTGGCTCATATGGTAACGTTTACGGAGCTATTTTAGTGCTGCTGGCAGTGCAGGCGCGTAAAATCGGTCTAACCAAAAGAAGCAGCCCGTGAAGCGAGGTCTGGACTAGGTGGGTAATTTCCTGTACCAGCGGACACGGAGCGCTGGCTGGAGGAGTCCTCTTGATTGCTTGTCACTGAGTGGAAAGCCTCCAGCCGACTGGCACATCTGGAAAAGCTGAATTTACTGGTTTTTCTATTTATTTCTCTTCCTGACTGACGGACAAGATTGTAGGGTTTATCCTAACAGTTATCCCCTTGATAAGCTTATTACAACTCTGGCAAACTCATGCAAAAAATATATTGTATAATGGAGGCTTTACTGTCTGGAAACCAGGATGGTCTGAGCCATCCAAACAAGCACAGATTTCTGCCAGGCCTCAAGCAGTCTTCACCTGAGCTCGTCCCCCAGCTCTCTGCGTGGCCTTGGGCAGGTTGTTTCACCTTTCTGCCCCCATTTCTTACACTATAAGCTGGTGGAAGTGATGCCTCCCACATGGGTTGTTGGGAGGATCCGGTGGATAACTGGTGCTAGCAACTACCAGAGCTGTGCAGAGCCGCAGTCGTGCCCAGCATCAGCACGGGATGGGGAAGGTGCGAAGTTGCTGGACGTGCAGCAATTTGCTGCCTGCCCAGAGCATGGACGTACCAAAGCTCAGTGGAAACTTTCTCACTTACTGCTCCACGTCCAAAGTTGTATATCTTTTCTCTGACATTAAAAAAAAAAAAAATAGTGACATGTTTATTAATAACAGAAAGCCTGGGAAAACAAGACAACAAGATGTCCAGTTGCATGAAGCTTTCCTCTCACCCTGAGGAGGAACAAGAAGTGAGGAGAGGACAAACATTTCAACACGTTGCCCGGAGTAGTGCTGGAAGAGAGGCAGGTACTGCAGTGATGAGGGACAGGCAAGCGGCTCGGCTGAATGGCAGTTACATTTTGTTGCACTCTGCAAGGATATAGTCGTGTGCCCCTTTTTTAAACCCTGTTTAAAATCACAGTGTCCAGCAGCAAAATGAAATGTCTCCACTGAAAAGGCACTAACAAGCCTTCTATGAACTTGTGTCCTCAGAGGCAGATCTGTCTAAACGGCATCTTCATGGTGCTTGAGAACCAGATATGCGTAGACAAATTGGAGGTAATTTAGAGGAGAGCAACACAAATGATTAAAAGACTGAAGGAACTGATGTGAGAAAAAAAAGATTAAAAGATGTCAATATGCATGACTTGGCCTAATGACAGCTAAAGTCAGGATAAACGTCTACAAGTGTTTGAAGCCCCAAGGAAAGGAGTTTCGTGGAAGGATGCAGGGGGTGTAGCAATAGTAAGGACCACT